ACTTGACTGTGGGCACCCGCTTATGACAGACAGTTTTGCCTGTTTCGACGAAAAACTCATATACTTTCTCTTACATTAGCTTCCTTTGTACGGACACCAGTTACTACTATGCACAACTGACCCAAGTCACGCTGTGAGCAGAGCCTCATTTACCTCTCTTTTTGTTTGGCTATCTTCGCTCTGTGGATAGTTATATTTTACGATTATGTACCAATTACTCCCGGATAGAAAATAAAAGCTTTCCATAGGTTAAAGTTAAAGTTACAGACTATTTAAATGATAACGCTGCCGAGTCCAATTCTAGTGCGAGACATTTGAACTTGTGTTACAATTAACACATTAGAGTAAATAATTTTTAAAGACCATTCATGCCGGTGCATCACTTTGCAGAATTATTAAACAGGTCATGATAGAAACCACCGACTTTCATTATTGAGAAAGCAGTTTCGAGTTCGGAGAACTGTGCGTATGTGAAAGCTTCAGCGGTTCTCCGTAAACGGAGCATCAGTAATCAAAGCTGACCGGAAATACCTGGAGTTAAAATTAGCCACTCCAGAAAATCATGATCAACATTGGCGCTATCACTCTGGTGCTATCACCCCAAAATGAGCTAATATCGTACTACTTTAATAACATAAACTGGCTGATCCATTCTGTGCGAATTTTCCTGTTGAAGCCGATACAAATCGAAATGTCAACAACTTTTGGCTCGAATGCGATGCAAATACAGTAATTTTAGTTTCGTTTCCGCATAAATGTTAATCCAGTGGCTCTTCAAAAAATTGGGCTTACTAAGCAAGATGTAAACAATTTCGACACGAAACGTTCACACTTGATGCCGTCGATGTATAGAGAGGCTGAGTGGCATGCCGCTACTCGCTTCCACGTCAAGATAAAGAGAGGCCCGTGACTTCGATTGTTCCTACGAAATATTAAAGCAGGATATCTGAAAATAATTGTATTGTCTCAAGGTCGATTAATGTCTCTACAGTGACGTTGCCTCGTAGATTCAGTGAGGAAATACTTCTTTTTCAACTTACACTGTATCTAGGTCCTTCTGGACCAACTAGTACGTGCTAGAAAGACGGTGAATGAATGACTTCAGTGCAATCTTTCCACGTAACTTTCCTTTCTGGAAAAGATGCGTTTAAAGCAAGAGGCGTAGCTGCGCGCATTAAACAGACTTTATAACTTCAGAAATTGACGTTCCACGTTACTCAAACGTCAGCTTTAAAACTCATCAGGTAGCAAGAACTCTTGGTTATCTTACCTTAAATGTCGTCCGCAATACCCAGGCACACTGTGTTGTTAAGAACGTTCACTGACACGGAAATGGCACACATTTCCGTGTCAGTGGACGTTCTTAACAACACAGTGTCTATCATGTATATGGTATCGAAACTAAACCAGATACTCCTCTAAGTTGTCTAACTAGAGGAGATCAAAAGGGTGACTGCTTCATCTGGGAGTGGATATTTTTTCTTTCGTAGGTGACTGGATGAAACTTTTGAGCTGAAAAGGCATTGTTCACTTGATGCTTTCAAT